AAAGAGGCTGACATGTTAAAATTGGAACAATAGATTTTCTGTCAAAGTAATAGGAAAAGTTATTTCAGTCGAGCAGAAGACCTGTCAAATGGATAAGATGTCGCCTCCTTACCCAATTCAGTCTCTTTAGGTTTTAGCACAGCCTACTATTTTTTTCATGATTGGTTTTCCGACGATCTTGTTTTCTGTACTGAGTAACGGTGCATTGAGGGCAGCTCCCACACCTGGACCCTACTTATCGACGGATAAACTGAAGGGCCGGGGTCCAACGGCCTTACTTCCCGTGATCAGAGATTTTATGCCTTAGAAAATCCCGACGGCGCCGACTGGGATTGGACCCAGGCCGTTTGGAGTGAGAGGCAATCACGCTTACCGCTACACCACCAGCGCCGCTAAACAGCGTACTATCGTTACTAACCGGTGGAAACTAACGATTTTAAATTGGCTCACTACTTGACTAGCCTATTGGTCCCAAGCAAATCGAATAACGTATCCTATTCTAGCCAAAATTCTAGTACTACACTATGTTTGTTTTGATTCACTGTGAAAGTTTGACAGATGAAATTAGGGGTTCGTGGATTTTCCTATGTTTCGAGGGGTGCATCGATTAGCTTGGGACCGAAGATAATACCAGAGCTGAGCCAAAAAGTTGAGCACGTTTCTTCTGGACCTTCTAGTCTTAGAGTTACCTCTATATTCCAGTTCCATTTATCTAGACTCGGTGTATAAGAGTCACGCCAAGAGTGAAGCCAAGTCTACATATTGAACTGTCAACCCGGCTACCTTGGTAATGACCAGTAAAGATAATTTGTAATATTTGTTGATGATAATTTTACGAAATCACTGATATAACGATTTACTACAGTCGTTAATTTTATTTTTCGCTAGAAGTCATTCGAAGTTGATGCAGAAGTCCTCTGTTGCCAAGTGAAATGGAAGGGAATCTTTCGAAAACTGTGTTGCGTGCTCCACTATTTTTCTCTTGACGTGGCTCTTATACACAGACTCTACATTTGACATTGCAGAAACGAAGTTACGACGTGTAGAAATTGGCTACTTTGTAAGAAATTCACCCTGTGCTGCTATCATTGTTAACAGTATTTTAGGTAATTTTATAGACTACAATACACTCAAGTCAAGGCAAGTTTTTTCACGGTAAGGTTGGCGCCGCTGAGTCGCAATTAAGGGGTTACGCCATTCTAGGATTTTCAAAAAAATCGATTTTTTTTACATAAAAACGTACTCTGAAGTGTCAAGAATAAGGGACAATTGGTTCCATGTCGAACAAATTAAAATTCCGAAAGTTATAAGCGAAATTACAAAACTTTGCATCACGCACCTGAACAGTTCGGGCCGCCAGGCGGTGAAATGTACAGTTACCACTCGGCCCACACGATAGCATCTGCAATTTTGACTCAATTTGATCTAGACTTTGACGATTGCATTCTCTGATTAATTATCTAGAGAAGTACATACGAACTTTTCAATTAATCAAAAAATGCAATTGTGGTAAACAATTTTAGAAACAAATTTCAGGCGAAAAAACTGATTTTTTGCAAAAACAAGTCCTATTTGGGTAAAATTCAAAAATTTGTCATCTCCGTATGTACTTCTCTAGGTATTCTTATATAAAATAAGAAAAACCACTCGTTTTTGTTCTAGGTTCATATTTACTACGAAGAAAGTGTGGGCCGCGTAACACTACACGGGAAGCAGTGCCAGGAACTCGCAGTGCTGCCAACTGCCACACATGGTTTCCCCTTATGAAAAAATACTGTAAGCACCCCTAATTATGTGAACTATAAGCCCAAATAAGTTAATTTAGTATGAGACTTTATTAAATAACAAAAAAAAAATTAATGAAGTTGGTGCATTTTTCTGTATTCTAGGGTGGCGTAACCCCTTAACAGGATTATTATGTTTATAACGATACAACCTATCGAATTTATTCGAATCACATTATCCGTTTCAAGCCATACATACTACGAAAAAGTTATGTAAATTTCGGTTCCCTGAAACCGACACATGTAAGTGGCCCTTTTGACATAAGAATCAGTTGAAAGAAACGATAAAATTAACTCAATCAAACGTTCTCTACGTCGAGTTGTTTATGTTTCGGTTTGAGAACACTTAATTTTACATGAAAGGTTTGTTGGCGTTCCATGGCTTACATCCAATATGGATTACGTCTCGTGTAAAAGTAGTTATTTCTAAGTGTGTAGGTAATCGAATGGCATGCTTTAAAAAATCCCAAATTTGTATAAATTCAGAATTTTTTCAAACAGGGGAAGTGGCTCTAATGTTGGCGTATGAATCTAAGATTGGGCCTATCACTAAAAATCTCGAGTGTCAATTGATGAATTTATGTATGGGCCAAACTTAGGGGCATTTGGGCCGACATTACATCTATTTCCCCTATGTCTATTTAGATCATAGCTTGCTATAATTAACATCATTTTTTTAAATAAAGAGTGTATTCGATAAAAATGGCACACACATATTTACTCATTAAAATTGAACCGATTATTGGATTTTCTTAAAATATTCAGGAAATGAAAGACTACTAATGAGTTATGATTTACAAAACTTGTTTTATTTGATTTCGTCCCTCATCCTGAATGCCCGCACCTTCCTTTTCACTCCACCCATTAAATTTTGTAAACCCGATTTTCCCAGTGTTTTTGTTGTTTTTACCCAAATTTTCTTCAACTCCAGTTTTATTTTAATAGTTTTGGGATGTTTGCGAAGTTCCGTCTTCACAATTGACTAGAATTTTTCAATTAGGGGAACTTCCGGTGAATTTTGTGGGTTCATATATTTTGGCACAAAATTGACTCCGTTGGCTCGGTATCACTTCAACACGTTTCGAGCGTAGCGGCAGGATGCTAGATCAGACCGAAACAGACTTGATCCTTTGTGCTTCCTTATGAATGGCAAGAGACGCTTTGATGGATGAATGGAGCGCTTATTTCCCCACATCAGCAAATCGTCTGGAAGATCAGGAGCTTCTTTGCAAGTTTCGATAATTTCTTCTTCCGAACTTAGACTTGGCAACGAAATATTCATGCCCAGGAAGTTGATGGAAGTCTTCCTTGACGTAAGTTTCGTCATCCATTACGATGCAATACGATTTGGTGAGTTATTTCGTGTAAAGTTTCCGGGCGCGGGTTTTCGCAGTGATGTTTTGATTTTAATTCTGGTTTGGCGCTTTTTGCATCTTTTCAACATATAACCCAGCACGCTTCATGGTTTTCTGCACAAAACCGACTGACACCTTGAACTTTTTAGCGACATCTCGAATTTGGACGGTTCTTGAGCTCTTGCACCACTTTCCTGGCCGTTTTACTGTCCATTGGATCACACTTACGACCACTCCCTTCCTTTCTTCGAGCACTCAGACGCTCTTTGAAGAATATTATCACACGAGACACAGTTGTATTTGCAATTCCAAGCTTTTTAGCGATCTATCGGTGGGACGCCTCTGGATTTTGATTGTAAGTGCACACATTTTTTTTCACGGACAATTTCTTGTTTCGACGACATAACTGGAACTACTGTATGAATAACTATGATACTTGACAGATGTAAACAATACAATATGAATAAGATTTACTCAAATTTCAGGTTTTTTACTCATACGGTTGAGAAGTTACAGAAAATTTTCGGTGTGCCATTTTTATTGAATACACCCTTTAATATTTAAGCATGTTCAAAATTAAAACCTAGTTAGGTTTTTTACACGGTATTGCCGTTCTAGGAAACATAATTCGATGCAACTGACAGCCACAGCATGCTATTAAAGTTGATGATCTGACGCCAACTGCTCATTTTTCTGTGAGTTGGCGATACATATCCCCCGTGTAAAAAAAGGCCTGAGTGTATATGTAAAAGCTATATGAATATCTAAATTTGCCAATCGACTGATGACTAATCCCTAACAGTTCAGAGCAATTTACTCACCCTGCGGTTTCGCCCGCTGCTTCCAACCATCAATCAATCCATTGGTCATATAAATACCTTCAGGCGGCAATCAGAAACCAGTGCAGTGACACCTAGCACGTGGCTGTGATTTACGAAAACCCTAAAATTTACTTCTCATAGTGCTACGCATTCATACAAGGGCAAACAATTTGGTCTTTGGGTCTGGGATAACAACCAGATACAAAATAACCAATCGTTCCGGTAAAGCGACCTTGCTTTATTTGTTTTGTCCCGATTTATCTGGATTTCATTTTTATGAGCGCATGTATGTAGCTCTCCCGGTGCCGAGCATAAATAAACATCCGAAGGACATCTCACTCTCCGCCTGACGGTAGGTATATTCATGTTGGGATATGACAGTGCAGCAATTCCGGAATCGTAAGCAAACAAGTCAACCTTATTTCCACAGTCCCATCCCAGGGTTGTTGGCGATATGGGAAGAAGGGGCGCCATTTCGCCGCACTGCGACCAACCGCTCCGGATCCCGTTCACTGCGGATATGTAAGCATTTCACAAAAGCGCAAACGACAAAAGTGAGCAAACAGTCAAGTACCGTAAGTAAAATAAATATTGGCAGCAGTTTCCAACGCAAACAGTTGTAAACAAAAGATTGTACTTTTTTCTCGTGTGACAAACATTGGCCCTCGGAGCCATATATTTGGGAGATTGCGATTTGATCCTGGTGCTACAGAATGTATCACAGGTTTGCTGCTTTGTCCATCTCCAAGGCTCATGGGTACATATGGATCGGGAGTGATTATTGAATGAAATATAAATATAAGGGCTGTCTCTAAATACGTAGATTTGAGAGATTTTGAACCTGAAAAAAAGCGATTAGTGAAACATGAAGTTAAAACTAAATAATACATTAAGGAAACTAGATTTTACATTTGCAATTTTTTACCAAAGTTTATTTCCATTGTTACAAGGTAAGATTTTTTACTTTGGAATCACTATTTAGCTACATTAATACATACAAGCATACTTACAACAATATATTAGCATAATTTATTCGTATCTACATTCGGCAAACACTCTTAGCACTAGCAATGGCACAACCATAAACGTCATTATCATAATTCCTACATGCAACTATCGATTCGCCGCACATCATATCACCTGTCCAATAATAGCCGGAATCAATTAGACAACTGCACGGGATTATTCACCCAAAGCTAATCAACCGCTCATCAATCTCAATCGCCAATCAATCTCGGTGGCATGACTTGTCGTTCGACTCAAATCATTTGGGATATAAACTTTCCCCTGCCCCGTCGGCAAAAAGCTACGGTAGACGATCGGGAAATTTGAACAGTGTCCGTTTCCGCTCTCGCTTTCAATTGTATCCGCTAGTATATTGATTAGCATAATTGCCCCTGTTCATAATATGTAACAATAAATCGATTAACATTTTGTTGCTCTTTTTTACAACCCCGACCGCAGCAATTGTTCACTTTCAGGGGGATGGGGTCGTGTTTTATTCTGAAATCACGTGTTCAAAGCAACTTGATTGATTTACGGTTGCTGCTGCTGATGGTGCTGTTGAAGTGGATGTAGCGGATGACCGGGATGTAGCAGCGCTGACGGTGGGTGTGGATGTAACCCTGGCCCTCCATTCAGCGTCCCGGTGTTCGGCGGAGGCCCCTGATGGTGATGGAGTACACTCGAACCTGGATGATGAGAATGATGCATATGGTTGGGTGGTTGGTCGGTACCGTTGTTCCCTATGGGACCGTTGCTACCCGGAGTGCTTCCGTTATCCGGACCACAGAAGTATGAATTTTGCATCGAGTAAAGCCGATCGATCGGATTCAAAAGCTGAGCATGGGCAGGGGTCATCGATGTTGTCAGTTGTTGCAGCGAAGGGTACTCGATGCCTATCATTGCGTTGAGTGGAATATTTTCGCTTTTCACAATGTTCGATGGGTCTGTAAATAAAAGGAAAACATTCTGTTATGAGAATACCACTTGCAAATGAACGCCTGGATTTTATTCAGTTACACAGCGTTGCTTCTGACAAAGAACTAATATGATTTACAGGGGTGTTTGTCCTACACCCTAATGCCTTAACATTGTTTGTCACTATATAATTACAGACTGATTATCAACCCCACCAACTTACTTCCCCAACTTACAGCAATTTTCAATTTTATCTCGCGCTTATTTATTTGTCTACATAAAGATGATCGTGGCCCCAATCTTGGTTAGCTTAACATAACATACAGCCTTGCAAAAATAATGCAAAAAAAAAAACAAACTGCACAAAAATATTATTTTACTGGGGTCAGCAATATTTTATTGGGTTTTCATACATCTGAAAAAGTCAGTAATCCAAAAATACCCGTCCAATGTAATTGAACAAATAATATTTACATTAGTGTTTCAGCGTTATATGGAAAAAAGTTATAGTCTGGGATTTCAAACGCTACCCCCTGGAATGGTAGTTTGTGGGGTCAGAAACTCCCTACCAAAATTTGAAATCATTTGGGTCATGAGAACCCCTCACTCAAAGGGCTTGAAGTTTGTATGGGGAAAATCGACAAAATGTAGGGGAGTCACTTTCACATTCGTAGCTCTAGGTGGCGCTATAGTAGGTTGATTTTCTTCGTATACAAAATTTAGAATCTTTGGAGTGTTGGAAACATCTTGGCTCAAAATCGGATGTAAATCCGAGTTAACCCCGAAAAGTTATTAGCATTTAAAATGAACACCACCTAGTTTTGGGGAGTGCCTAACGCTCTTTGTGCGGTTATTATCTTTATGAAAATGCATACGAATAGCAATGTTTGCATGGGTATAACTTTTCTGTTTCATCAGGAAAGTGGCTGAAATTTTCACAGGGAGTAGAAAAATGTTCGTAATTATGGTCTACTGAAAATTGGAACAGATTGGTCAAGTGGTTCCGGTTTTATTTCGGGTTTCTGAAAGGCCATCGTGGCGGGGGAGAAAAGGAACCAATCGTCTAGAACAAGGTGATGCTGGAAATCCACAGCAACAGGCATCTATAGGTAGAAGACTGATGCAAAATTTGAAATTTTCGCTCCACATTGTGCAAAAGGTTCCAATTTGGTACCAGATTAGCCTTCCAAAATTTGAAGTCATTTAGTAAGAAACTGACTTGGTACAAACCATTTGAAGTTTATATGGAAATTACTATGGGAAAATCAAAATTTTGTATTCATATCTATCTTATAGTTAACACTTTTACTCTGCTTTAGAAATTGATAGCTGTACTTATAGTAAATTTTTACAGCAACAACTTTGTTCAAGATCATTTTTCGATAAAATGTAAGAATCAAAAGTTATTAATGATTCAAGTCACTATTGTCTTATGATTATGCTCAATCAACTGCTCAGCAGGCAACATTGGTGTTTCTGGTGAGTAGAATAGAGCTAAAACATCGTGGCTATAACTGTTACAGAAAGTATAAGCACACTTTCAAAATAACAAAAAAGTCATGTTTTTTTAAGTTTTAATAATTTTATTTGGCGAATCATATTTGTATTTGTATTTCAAATGATATTTTACTCTCGTTTAATCAACATATTTAATCATAGCCAAGACTCCTAACTTTTCCTCGAACATGACCCCTTAGCTTCTGCACAGTGGAACTTCCCACCTTTTCGACCACTTTTGGCCAATCTTTTTTGAATTTTTGGGTGTCGTCTGCTGGTTTTATTAATTTTCGAAGCTTTGCTTTGGTTAAAGCCCAAAAAGTTTCGATTGGCCGTGCCTCCCGGCAGTTCGGCGGATTCATGTCTTTTGGCACGAAACATACATTTTGACTTTTGTACCATTCTAAAGTGTCCTTTGTGTAATGACATGACGCCAAATCAGGCCAAAATACTACTTGACCTTCGTGCTGCCTGATCATCGGCAACAATCGCTTCTGGAGACATTCCTTAGCGTATTTCTGAGTGTTCATCGTCTCCGTTGTGATGTACGGACTAGATGTTTTACCACACTCGCATATTGCCTGCCAAACCATTACCTTCTTACCGAATTTTTCGGTAAAAATTGCCTTCTCCGTTTCGGGGATGTCCTTGCCTTCGCTTACAGTATAGAATTGTGGTCCGGGAAGCATTTTGTAATCTAGTTTCACGTACGTTTCGTCGTCCATTATTATACACCCAGCATTTCGACACAATAACGAATCGTAGAGTTTGCGAGCCCGTGGTTTCACGGACGCGGCCTGTTTTGGGTTCCTTTTGGGTTTTTTTCTGCTTCCGGTATGTTTTAGTCCAAAGACTTTGGCACGCATGACGTTACTCAACGACGTCCCTAGTTTTTTCGCAACATCCCTAACGGAAGTCGCTGGTTTTCGTTTGTAGGCATCCCTAATCTTTTTATCGATATCCAGACTTACAGGACCGGATTTCCGGCCACTCTTCGGCGCATCTTCAAACGTACACTGTTCTCTATATTTTTAATCGCAGTTCGTACCGCTCTTCCTTGGCCAATTTTCTCAATGAGAGTCCGCTCACAGTGCACCATTTGTGCACGATACTTTTCGTTGTTCCGGAGTAAGACCACACATTTTGACAGGAAACCCAAAACTGAGCACTTTTTTGATGCTATGTCATTCAGAAATGAGCAAACAAAAGGACGCAGCCAAAACATGTTGAAATATTTCATTATATTCAAAGTGACCGTTAAAATAAGGTGTGATTATACTTTCTGGAACAGTCTATACTATGTCACACTGCAAAATACAGTGTTGCCCACAAAAAAGTTGCTTGATCATGCCATACGATTATCAATGTCTTAAACAATTAATAACTATTTAATATGATGTTTAACTGAAAAACAATATTCGGCAAAGGTGTAGCTGAGAAATTTTTCCCAAGAATAGCTATAGGAATTTTTAACAGTGCTACATATTGCAGGATAGAACACTACGAAGAAACAGTTTGGGTTCCCCATAATAATTCCCATATAAACTTCAAATGATTAGTTTCTTACAAAATCAGTTGAAACCTTGGGAGGCTAATCAATACCCGATTTGGAACCGCTTGAGCACTGTGGAGCGAAAATGTCAAATTTTGCATCAGTCTTATGGGTAGTGCTGATCAATATTTTAACGAAACCAACCCACAACCTAATTCTAAATACTGAGTGACCACCGGATGGCCATCCTGTGACCCGGATCAACCTTAATCTTGATTATTATGTATGTCTTGATTATTCTCGTCAACTATATGAAATGAAGTAAAATTGTGTTTTTTTATATATCAGCAGGCTTGCAATTGCTCATTACAACTAAAATGTTAATTTTTGGAATTATGAAACTATGAGATACTATAATGCTAATTTTTATTTGTAATTATCAATTTTGCTTTCAGAAGGTCACAACTAGCGATTTTATGATCTCTGATTGCTCGCTCATCACGTTGCTCATCGTTACAGCTAATCGCTATTGTGACTCTCTGAAAGCTAAATTAACATATTTTATGTATCATACAAATACTTTACCTTCTCTTTTTGCATCTTGTCACTAAGAATTACTATTAAAATATTCCATAGCTTTATAAACACGAAAAATAGCATTTTAGCTGTAATGTGCATTTGCAAACTTGTATATCAGCTGCTCATTGGCTCCGAGTGGTCATCTAAGGACCCACCGGAAGATCCTAAACATCCGTAAAATTGATTTTTGTGTAAATTTGATCAAAGTATGCCTTGATTTGTGAAACTATGTAAAATGTAGTAAAATGGTGATTTTAGATATATTAGCTGGTCATTGGCTCCAAATATTCACCAGATGGTCCGCCAGAAGCTTTGGAACATCTATTAAATTGATTGCTTTGTAAATTAGGCCTTGATTTGTTCTGATACATTAGCCAGTCATTGGTTCTAACTGACCACCAGATGGCTCGCCGGAAAATCTAGAACATCCGTAAAATGTATTGCTTCGTAAATTTGATGAAAGTAAGCCTTGATTTTTCTCTGCATTTATGTGCGATGTGGGAATACGGTGTTTACTGATATATATGCTAGTTATTGGCTCCGTGTGGTCACCAGGTGGCCCACCAGAAGATCCGGAACATCCGTGAAATTGATTGCTGTGTAAATTTGTTCAAAGTAGGCATAGATTTTGCTCTGCAACTATATGGAGTATAGTAAAATGGTGATTTTTTATATAAGCGCTGGTCATTAGCTCCGAGTGGGGACAAGATGGTTCACCGGAAGATCCTGAACATCTGTTCAAAGTAGGCCTTGATTTGATCTCATATTCCATATACCCCACAAACTACCATTCCAGGGGGTAGCGTTTGAAATTGAATTTTGATGATAGATCCTTAATATTTCTAGGACAAATTCCAAGGTAATTCCAAAATATATTTCAAATAAATTTTGAAGAGGGTTCCAAGGAAATTCTGAGGAGAATATTTATAAAGCGATTCTAATTTTGAGAGTACAATTTCAATTAAATTCAGAGGGGAGAATATTTTTCAGGGAGCCCCAACGATAATCTCAAGAGTATTTCTGGAATAATGTAGATGATTGTGAGCATAATTTTAAGACTTTTGTGGGGTGCATTGAAAGAAAATTTTATGGAGAATTCAAGCGAATTTCAACTTTTCAGTACTATTACACAGTACAACACGAAAAAAAAAAAATTAAAAACTACATGATGATGTAGTTGCAATACAATACCCATGGCCAATAGACGAATATTATGGAGAATATCAGGTTTCATGAAGTGCCTCCAAACCCACTTACCTATCAACCCATCAACTCATCGACCGGGACCATCCGAAGGAAGGCGTGATCAGAAATTTTATGCCTCAGAAAATCCCGAGGGCACTGACTAGGATTTAGTCCAGGCTCTTTGGAGTGAGAGGCAATCACGCTTACCACTACACAACCGGCGCCGCTAAATGCTCTTTTATTGCGTAGCTACTCAGATTTCTTTTTTTAATCAGA